AAAAATCCATTCTGTATGCCAACCTTTTTTGATAGTATGTACATTACTTATCAATTCTTGTGAACCATATTTCTGATGTAATTTGATCATTACCATCCCTATCAAGGGAGCTTATTTGCACTTCTTCTATCTTCATTTGAAGAGATTTAATTCCTACTAAAAAAATTTAGTGATAAGGGGTTGATTTATAAAAATATGTTGTTACACTGCTTTGCGTGAGGTGAGGCTACTAAAAAAAAGGAGGGTTAAATGAGTATAAATGATGAATTATTTAGTGCTATAAACGTAGGAAACTACAATGAAGTTAAGACTCTTGTAGATAAAAGGGCTGATCTTAATGCTAGAGATCATGGAATGACTCCTTTGCACAAAGCTGCTGATTCTTCTAGCAACTTAGATATAGTAAAGTATCTTGTAGAAAAAGGTGCTGACGTTAACGCTAAAGCTGGTAAATATAGTGATTCTGACGTAAATGACGATTACGAGGGGTATACTCCTCTGCAAAGAGCCGTTATACGTTCTCACTTAGATATAGCAAAGTATCTCGTAGAAAAAGGTGCTGATGTTAATGCTAAAGATAGTTGGGGGCAGACTCCTTTATGGGAAGCTGTTCGTATTTTTGGCGGCTTAGATACAGTAAAATATCTTATAGAAAAAGGTGCTGACATTGATGCAAAAGATTGTAATGGATCTTCTATCTTGCACGAGGCTGTTATTTCTTCTTGTTCTATAGGAACAGCGAGTGTAAAGCATCTTATAGAAAAAGGTGCTAATGTTAATGCTAAAAGTAATAGTGGAAGGACTCCCTTATTTGGATATGTTAGTTTTCCCTTCTTAGATATGGTAAAGTATCTTGTAGAAAAAGGCGCTGATGTTAATGTTACTCAGGATAGGGATGGAAATACCATCTTGCACTATGCTGCTAATATTTACAAGAAGGACTCATACCGTTGTGGTGATAGTTTGTTCGAAAATTCCCCTAAAAAATTCAGTGTAATAAGGTATCTCATAGAAAAAGGTGCTGATATTAACTCTAAAAATAATATGGGTTTTACACCTTTATACAAAGCCGTTCAAGAAGGTAATGTGGATATAATTAAGTTGTTTATAGATATCCCAAGTATTGATTTTTACGCTAAAAATAATAATGGTAATACTATATTATATGTGGCTGCTGAAAAAGCTGAATTAGAGATAATTAAAATTCTTATAGATAAAAATCCCAATATCATTAACGTTGGCAATGATAATCACAACACACCCTTACATGGAGCTGTTAGTAAGGCTCGTCTAGATATAGTAAAGTATCTTATAGAAAAAGGTGCCGATGTTAATGCTAAAGGTTATGATGGATATACCCCATTGCATCTTGCTGTTCGTTCTTCTAATCTAGAGGTGGCAAAACATCTTATGGAAAAAGGCGCTGATGTTTATGCTAAAAATAATAGTGGAGATTCCGTCTTGCACAGTGCTATTAGCCCTTCTGATTCCAATTTAGAAATAGTAAAGTATCTCGTAGAAAAAGGTGCTGATACTAGTGCTAAAAACAATCAAAACAAAACTCCTTTGGAAGTTGCTCAAACAGAATGTCCAAATTGTACAAACATTACAAATTTCCTAAAAGGNCTTGTTGATAATGCTGGATATACAGAAACACCACATTATGTCTCTCAAGATAATATGACAGCACCACAGATAGATACAACAACTTCTTCTGATTTCATTCAAGAAAAGACTACACAAAAGAGCCATACTCTTGAAAATCATGATGTTCAGCATGTACTCACTACTGAATCTGTAAATTCAGCAACAATGCCTCAAGGTTCAACACTAGTACTTGTTGATAATGCTGGATATACAGAAACACCACATTATGTCTCTCAAGATAATATGACAGCACCACAGATAGATACAACAACTTCTTCTGATTTCATTCAAGAAAAGACTACACAAAAGAGCCATACTCTTGAAAATCATGATGTTCNATACGAAGTTATACGATGTAAATTCAGCAACAATGCCTCAAGGTTCAACACTAGTACTTGTTGATAATGCTGGATATACAGAAGCACCACATTATGTCTCTCAAGATAATATGACAGCACCACAGGTTGATTTTAATAATACAGTGCCAGTTAACAGCACATTACTATTATTCGATATGGTGACAAGAATGATTACTGGGCAAAAACATGTTTCTTCTACAGAAGCTACAGACCTTTCTAAAAAGCAACAAGCATTAAGTGCTGTGAGTATTCGTAATGAATTTAAGGGAGTTATGGCTGATCTTAATAAAACGTTAAACATAAATTCTAAGCAAAACTCACCTAATAGTCGTTTAGAAAACGTTTCTATTTTTGGTGGCAATGTCACTAAAAACCTATAAAGCTTATTGAGACCTACCGATTTTTTGTGTCGGTAGGCTTTTTTCCTGGTGTAAATAAAAAAAAGTATAGAGTGTTAAATAGGCTCTTTTCACACACCTGCTTCTTTTTAAGTTGGTTGTCTTATCATATCTCAACACGTTCTACTTCTGAATATGAAGGAGGTCGATCATTAACTAAAGTAGGTTCCGTATTAATCACAACTTCTGAATATGGAGGAGGTAAATCATTATCTACAGATGAAGAAGACAGACCGCCTACAGTTGAAAGTGTTGAATTTTGCAAAGGTTGATTACTATTTACAACTGAAGTTCTATTTCCTTTGCACAGTTCGTAGTAATTTATTGAACGTAAAGCAATGCATAAAGAAGATACAGCAACTGTAGATAAACCTGCTTGCACCAAGAATGTCACAGTTGTTGAATCTGAATTTACGCCCAATGATCCTGGAGTAAATGCTGCTATTGCTGCTATCGCTGCAATTGGTAGACTTATCATAATACATGCTAGATGCTTAATATTATTTGACACCCCTTTCCCCTCATCAAAATTTTTATACTAATCAAGTATAATTCAAATCTCTCTAAATCCAAAGAAAAAATATTAAAAACTTAGATTTCTTCTTTAATTTAAAATCAAATCCCTGCAAATGATGAGAGCAGGCGAACACCACAGTTGAGGAGCATTTCGACAGCAAAACTGCCATCGAAACGCCCGTCATATACTAACTCTTACCTACCCCTGCCTGAGCGGTATGCTGTTTCACTTGAGTATTATATACTTGAGTGTTAGTGTTGTTTGCAACTGCTTCTAATATAGCATTTGCTCCCTCTGGACTAAATTCCTTAGCCCAATCCAAAGCAGTTATTCCTTGGTCATCTACAGCATTAGCATCTGCACCTTTTTCTACTAAAAACCCTACTATATCTTTATGACCATTTCTAGCAGCCCAATGTAAAGCTGTCCTTCCCAAATCATCTCTAACATTAATATCTGCATCTTTTTGTTCTAATAAAAGCTTCACTACATTTTTATGACCATTTCTAGCAGCCCAATGTAAAGCAGTTTTTCCTGTGCAATTTCTAGCATTAACAATACTTACATCTGTTGCTAATAGATCCTTTACTACATTTTTCTTACCACTGATAGCAGCTTTACATAATAGTTCTATTTTTTTTGCCTTTTCCAAAAGCTTCTGTATCTCACTATCTTTAGCTAAGTCTCCTGGAATTTTACCATTCCTATCCTCTAATAAAGGATCTGCACCTTTTTCTAATAGATACTTTACTACATCCATATGATCATTTTCAGCAGTCAGATGTAAAGGAGTTTTTTCATCGTTATCCCTACGATTAAGATCTGCACCTTTTTCTAATAGATACTTTACTACATCCATATGACCACCTAAAGCAGCCCCATGTAAAACAGTTTTGTTATCGTTATCTCCAGCATGAATAATACCTGAATTCTTTTCTATTAGATCCTTTATTATATTTATCTTACCACTTCTAGCAGCTTGAAATGGTTGTTCTTTTCTTACTTGTATTGCCTTTTTCCAAAGCTGTTTCATATCATCATTCAACTCTGGTTCTCCTATTCTAAATTCATTCTTCAAAAAAAGATCTCTATTTTCTTTTATTAAATTCCTGAATCCATCTACATCACCATTGTTAGCAGCCAATTTAGCAGCACGATATAAAGTAGTGTATATCTTGTGATCTTCAGTACTAATACCTAGATACAGGTTTATATCATTTATGACTTGCGAAGTATATCCCTCTTGATCTTCAGTAGTAATACCTGGAAGCAAATTTATCTCATTTATAATTTGCGAAATAGATCTCTTTTGCTCTGCAGCTTTAACATCTGCACCTTTTTCTACTAAAAACTTTACTATATCTTTATGACCATATTTATTAACAAAATATAAAGCAGTTCTTCCCCTATTATCTCTAGCATTAACATCTGCACCTGCTTCTAACAAAACCATTACTACATCTGTCTTACCCTCTGCAGCAGCCTGATGTAAAGGAGTATCTTCAACATGTTTATTACCAGTTTGCAGTGAAGCAGCTGCGTTTACTTTTTCTAATATCTTTTTCCATTGTTCATTCTGCATAATTTACTCCTTAATTATTAATATATTAATAATTATCATAATGTTCTCATAAAAAAGTCAACTATTTTCTAGCTACACTTGTGTATAATTACCCTTACAACAATCTATAAGTGGCGAAAATCATAATGTATGCAACCTGCTTACACAATCAGTGAGCTATCTGTCATCTCGTCCGGTTTTTTTAAACTAAGTAATTGCAACACAGTAGGAGCAATGTTAGAGAGTTTTCCGTCCTTTAATTTAAGATTAATGTGAGAACTGGAACATATAATAAATGGTACTTTATTTAAGGTATGCGCTGTATGTGGCACCTGATTTTCTTTATCAAATATACATTCCACATTGCCGTGATCTGCAGTAACAATTAACGCAGTATTACCCTCTTCTTGAACAGCCTCTAGTATTTTCGCAAGACAGGTATCAACAGTCAACACTGCTTGCTCAGCTGCTTTAATATTTCCTGTATGGCCAACCATATCGGGATTAGCGTAATTGACAACTATCAGTGCAAATTCTTGAGAGTGAATCTTTTCCACGAGTGTTTCAGTCAGTGCGAAGGCTGACATCTCTGGTTGCAAATCATAAGTTTTAACTTTTGGCGAGGGAATTAGTATTCTTTCCTCACCAGGAAAAGGTTTTTCTTTTCCACAGTTGAAAAAAAAAGTTACATGAGCATATTTTTCAGTTTCAGCAATGCGTAATTGTTTAAATCCTTGATCTGATACAATCTGACCTAAAGTATGAGGAAAAGAAATAGGAGAAAAAAGATAAGGAATTTCTAAATCTGTGCTGTATTGCATCATACTTAAAATTGCAGAAAATTTTGCCACTTTAGTATAGTGAGTTTTGCCTAATAATATGTTGGCTAATTGTATCATGCGATCAGCACGAAAATTAGCTAATAGCACTCCATCCTCTGGTTTTATGCCTTGGTAATCACCGATTACCGCAGGTTTTATAAATTCATCAGTTACATTATTACCATAGCTTTCATCAATATATGACATAACATCATCATAGCGAGGTGCCTCTGCAAAGGCGATAGATTCATAAGCTGCAATCGTCCTCTCCCACCTGTTATCACGATCCATAGCGTAGTAGCGTCCAGATATAGTAACAATTTTATTAGACCCCTTGCGAAACTTAATTTCTGATGGCAATTTTGTTGTCGAAGCTGAGCTACGCTCCTCAAATACATCCAAGTATTCTGTGGTGCTCGCTTGTACTTCTTCTAAATATTCCTCACCATAAATCGGTTTCGAAAGAGGTCTATCCTCTATTTCATTTTGAAATTCTTGGATGCACTTTTTTGCTGAGTTAGGAGGNTTATCATGCTGGGTACTGATTGTAAATATATTTTGTTCATTAAAGTTGTAAGGATCTTGTAAAAAATTCATTGACATTTAAGTAAAGACTTTTTTAATAAATAATAGTTGAAATTGGTGTAATTTGAGTTTATAATAGATATAATATTAAAGATTTGTTTATATATTATATGTAGTATTGATTAAATACCTTGGGGGTATGTATGGGAAAAGAAACTGAAAAAAATATCATAAATAGAACTACACAAAAAGGTCAGTTGCAGTCTTTCTTTGCTGGATCTGGTGAAAAGATTATGCAGGGTGTAAAAATTGTAGGTGGATTAGCTAAATATGTTGGTACCCCAGCAAATTGGGGTAAATCTGGTAAACATATTATTTATGACGGTAAGCAGGTTGTTAATGAAATTTTAGGTAACCCTGTAAATAAGAATGGTTATGTTCACCTTACCAAAGTTGAACCAAATAGTAACTATTTTGGTATAAAGCTAATAGGAGAAGGAGGAGGGTACTTAGGATTTAAAGCATCAGACACTCTCATAAACAGCATTGCACGAATAAGTGATGCACAGATAAAAGAAGTAAACACACTAAATGATGAGAATGCAATTTTTGATATAGTTATCAATCGAGTAGCGAAAAAAATTATAATTGAAATTGATGTTTACAAGATTATTAACGATATAACAGCTGATCCTGACAATAAAGGAAAGACCGAAGAAGAGATAAAAAGACTCGTTATTGGAAAAATTATTAAAGAAGCTGATTCTAGCCTCAAGAAATTAGCAAACATTGTTGGTGGAGAGTTTTCAAAGTATGCAGATTCACAGTTATTAGCAGGCGTAGGAAAAAGATTATATCAACCATATGAAAAACAGAAAGATGAATCAAAATCTCCTGCAGAAAATCCCACGCAACCTTCAGAGACTGTGTTACCCATGTCACCTAATGTGAAAACAGGGGAAAGCCTTAATGTAAAAGATAATCCGCAACAAGAAGAACAAATAAAGGAGTCGTCCTTTAGCATGACTGTTCCACGTAGTAGGTTAGGCAGTTATGAGAAACTAATATCAACAAATCCAGGTTTACAAATTAAAGCTGCTAATGTTGAAGATGTCAGCAACAACACGTCGAACCCACTACCAACACCAAATGCAAATGTTAAAAAAGGACCAGGTAT